GATGTTATGCATACCAAGTTTTCACAAAATGAGAAACTAAGGACACCAACATGTAAGCTGCAAGTGTAAAAATGGTTCTATCATCGGCAATTCTGTAATAAAATACATTATATTCACTGATGAATAAACTATCAGTCACTACATTTGCAGCTGGCATGTCGCTGGTTGAATTTGTTGTTTCGTTAAAAGAAAGAACAGTCAGTGTGCTCTATGTGAGATCAAGCTACTATTGAAATAACATCTGGCTATAATGCTTTTGTCATTACACAAAATGTGGAATGTTTGCGTTTGGGTCTGTCTGAATTTGTCAAATTTGAGTTTTGCTATTAACATTTTGGTGTTTATGCAGGAGAGAAATGGAGACGGCGATGAAGGAACGGCAGACGTGGTCTGGAGAAGTACATCATATCTTTCCTCCATCACTGTTTTCCAATCAAATGATTTTTATTCTTATTATAATTGCTATATTTTTACCTCTGCAACATTGCAACCATGGCATTCACAGCTCGTGTGGATTTTATATGAAAAAATAAAAAACAAAACAAAGAAAAATGCAGTATGACTACTTCAGGAAGAAGTGTATAGAACAGAAACCGAAGAAGGCATTAGCAGAATGTGCCACAGTATGCTTCGTTAGCTAGAGAGAACAGCAGACATATGGCCTGTTGATTATTGAAAAGCCTCTTGTGAACAAAGCGGTGCTGTTTCCATGGAGCTTATTATAGAGGAGAGAACAGTTTTTGGTTACTGCAGGGGGTCATAACTAACATGATGTGATGTTATTAAGCATCACGTATGAACATAATGTAATCTATGTTCAAACTGCAGGAGGCTCCTTGGAAACTAAAACCTAGTGAATAGTGGTACATAATCACTGCCAAAAGGTTTTCATTTAGTCTTTTCTTCAGCCACTTTCTACTTCTACTTTACCTTGTTTAAAGTCTTAAGGGGGCTTTTAGAAACAACAATAAGCTGAGCACATATTTTGGTCTGTTTCCTTAGGATAATATCAAAGTAAGAATATTTATTTTAAACCTTTCCTGAAATCTGATTGAATCTCTAATTTACCGCAGAGCTAAATGTTAGGCTAAGCCCCTTACATACCAAGGTTTTTCGGCCTCCTTGATATAGCCCAGAGTTTGTTTTCGCTGATAGATTTTCTTTCAGTGGATGTCCATACGAATAAATATCTTTAAGTGAAATTAACTTAGGATGCCATTACACCAATAGTGCTTATTCAGTTTAAGGAAAACCCTAATTTATTTACCCATTGGTGCAGGAAATGGTCAAAGTGTAAAGATGGAACACAATGGTCACACTAGGGTGGTCCCAAACATCAAATTAAGCTAAAGGCGTCAAAACAGATATGACATATCTGACATAACCTATTAGTCCACTGGTCCAGAGTGGTCTGGTATCAGGGTCCAAAACATGGTGGAAGACTGTTAGATCTTGTGACAACACAGTGGTGCCAGTTTCTTTCATGGGTGCTTTTTGTATCTCTGCTTCTGTCTCCTTGAACCCCAGTCGACCTCAGCAGATGGCCGCTCCCACTAAGCCTGGTTCTGCTGGAGGTTTCTTCCTGTTAAAAGGGAGTTTTTCCTCTCCACTGTCGCTACAAGCATGCTTACTGTGAGGGATTGTATTTGAGTCAATAAGTCGATGCAATCAACTGGTTTCCTTAGATAGAAAACTTTGAATCAATTTGACTGTATGATCTGGTTGAACTGTAAAGTGACTTGAGATGACATGTGTTGTGAATTGGCGCTATATAAATAAACTGGATTGAATTGAATTTAATTAAACCTGGAAGTTCCAGATCTAGAACCTCTCTTGGCTAAAAATTACAGAGCGTTGCTTTAAAATACTGAAGGTTGTGTTATGCTTGATGCACGTACCATTATCGTGGAAAAAAAGCTGCCCACTATGTCACAATGCCTGTAGCTTTGATGCACTGTGGGGCTTCCCTCCCCCCATTGTGGCCACCTCCAGTGGGCATATACAGCACAAAAAGCAAGTATACAGCACCACGCTACATGAGGAGGTAGCAGACAGAGCTGTTTACAACTTTCTCAAAGACTCGTCATGCTGTCTAAGAGAGACAGTAATTTCTTTGCAAGAGTTTTTTTTCAATCTGTTGAAACTGGTGGTATTTGGGTTAAAATCACAGGATGTCTCTAGATTTTTACATTTGTGAACTAACGACAGTGGGAGCTGTTGCTCGCTCGCCTTGTTTTTCTGCAAGGATCTGTCTATGGAAGAAACAAATTTTCCTAGGTGCGCGGTACAGAAATTCTGTCCACACGGACGCTGCACAGAGGGACATGGACGCAAAAAATGCCGTAACCTGGTCACAAGGACCTCAAGAATAAACCAAGCTTAACACAGACAGCACTATGGTGTTCACTACCATCCTGTTTTCATCAGCTAAAGGGTTTTTTTCTCTTTGAGGTCCAACCTTTTTATAACTGCATTTGACTGGACAAGGTTTGAGTCAAGTGAAAACTAGTTTGGGTGATTAATCAGAAAGTCCTAAATTGTACTTGTTATAAACATGAACGCAGGATCTATTTAGCTTGCTAAAAGGGAAATACATACTTTCTGACACCATTTTTACTCAGATAAGAAGGGGAAAATCCAAAACAAGTTATTGCTCAGTTAACTCTGGAATATATGTGAATCCCACTACATTTTAATCTTGGGGCTGATCTTGCATTAATAAAACAAAAAGGAATCATTTTAGGATTTTGATCATACTTGCACAATTATGGATCTGTTATGTATCAGATTAAATACCTAATTATGTATAAAACAACAAGGATATTTTCAAATGAGTAATTCCAGTGCATGGAAATGTTAGACTTTAAACACTAGTTAATTGAGTGACCAAAAGTCAACAAATACAGGATAATTAGACCCAAGGGAAGTCATTAGCCTATACAACTGACTCATGCAATTGTTTTCTCTTTGCCCTTTTATTTTAACCGGAAATCCTTTCCATCCATAACAGGCAATGTGTTGTATATGATCAATATTGTTTATTACATTTATTTACATATATTTACATGCTAATGAACTGGGTTTAGTGACTGAAAATAATTACACTTTTTATATTCAACAACAAGAGTTTGGATTGTTTACACTTCGGCTAATAGCAGTTAGAAACCTAAGACTTATTATATGATTGGGTTAAAATAGAATGAATGTGATTTCCACTGATGAGGTGTTATCCTTAATCAGGACCTGTCATTTAAATCCCATATCAAAGAGGTTTCTAGAATTTCCTTTTTTCATCTGCAGAATATTGCAAAATTTTGGAATATCCTGTCCAGGGATGATGCTTAGCAACTGGTCCATGCATTTTGCACTTCAAGGCTGGACTATTGTAATTCTTTGCTATCAGGAAGTCCACAAACTGTAGTTAAAAGCCTCCAGCTGATCCAAAATGCTGCAGCCAGAGTTCTGATGAAAATTAAAAAGAGAGATGATATCTCTACTATCTTAGCTTCTCTTCATTGGCTTCCTGTCACATCAGCTGTGCTGCTGCCATCAACACCATTGTTTATAGTTGTTGGAGATCGGCCTGTTTTCCAGTGTAGTCCTGTTTCTCTGACTGTGACTGGCTGGATGTGCTCTCTTCATCCTCTGACATGCGAGCTGGCTCGGAGCTCGTCTGCCTGGCTGTGTGTTTCCTGGATGGGTCCGCCTTTTACAGCTGGTTTTTGTATCTCTGCTTCTTTCTCTTTGTCTGCTTCTGTCTCCTTGAAAACCAGTCACCCTCAGCAGATGGCCGCTCACACTGAGCCTGGTTCTTCTGGAGGTTTCTTCCTGTTAAAAGGGAGTTTTTCCTCTCCACTGTTGCTACATGCATGCTTAGTGTGAGGGATTGCGTTCAAATTTATGAGTCGATGCAATCAACTAGTTTTCCTTGGATAGAAAACTTTGAATCAATTTGACTGGATGGTCTGGTGAACTGTAAAGTGCCTTGAGACAACGTATTATGAATTGGCGCTATGTAAATAAACTGAATTGAACTGAATTGAATTTAACCTCTTTATCCAATCTCCTGACCTATATTTTTTGTACACTTAAAGCCTCTAAGTCAATTGTAACTATGGTTTTAGCTAGAAGAGGAAACTAATCAAATTTATTTCAAATGGTTATGGGTGAAAATCAAACTTTAGTGTCTTACCTTAGGAAGAGTTCCAGTTGAGAGTAGAGAAAACGTATCAAAGCCCTGCGAACTGTCACTTCTGCGTGACAGTCATTGACCACCTGTCCTTGGTCGCTCAGGTACTCCCCGTTGATGCATTTGGTTCCCGTGGATAGCGCCACCACTTGGGCGTGCCTCAGGTCCAAATCTGTTGAACAAAAGGAGATGGATATTACACCTTCTGGCAAACAATTTGGTGTGTTTCAGTCTGCAATTTGGACATAATTTTGTCATTTCAAAAGAGTAAACTTGTACATTACAAGTACATTTCTTGGATTTTGTGAAAATGAATCAAATGAACAAGGAAAGGACAAATCTTATTTTTTTTTTTACAATGTGCACTTTGTAAATCTAAAAGCCCCTCCTTGTTATCTTTCACATCTGTACAAGAATGATATAGTTATGTCATTTTTGCAAGGATTCATTAGTAAAAGAATACCTTTTTTTTCAGTCTGTTAACGTAGGCATGGATATATTCTATTCATACAAGATATCTCATCTTGATGTTTCTCACACTGTATTTGATCCCTAAACTATCCCAGAGGAAAATATTACTGCTCAAAGCTTCCTCTTCTATAGCTCATGACACATTTCAGTTCCTCAACTCAGCCTCATTTTAGCTTCTATTATGTCTGAGATGTTTCTAACATGTTTCTTCTGTAGTGAAAATTAAGAATGCATTTACTTTTCTTTATGAGAGGCAAAATATTCAAATCTTCTTTTGCCTTAAAACCCTTTGTTATTGTCATATTTTATGCCTTACACATGAAACCCGTATATAAGGTGCTTCATTGATAATTGTGCGCTGCAAAAAATAATCTGGAAAGAAGTCCAAATTTCCTTAAATTAGAGCCTTTACCCTTAATTTAAGTAGGCAAATGAGATGATTTACCAATGGAATGAGTATTTTTACTCTTAAAATAAGATAGGTAAATAATATTCATTTGAAATAAGATAATGCAATTGTTTTGTTTTTTTTTGTCTTGTTCCTTTGGAAAAAAATCTCACCTCCTCAATTCAACAAAAAATGCACTTATTTTAAGAAAAAAAAACGTATTCAGATTTCAATTTTTGCAGTGTGTAGTGACATTTACTCAAATTTATATAAATTTAAGTATAATCCATTTTTATCTTATTTTTAACTAAAGGGATCTGTATTTTTATCTTGCAGAAACATAGTGGTATCATCAGTGAGCTGAGTTATCATCAAAGGATAACCAAATACTTTCAGTGGCTTAATAACTTGGCTATTCTTAAGAAAGAGAGTCAATAACTCTGCAGCTAAATAAATAAATAAGGAGAGCAGAGCCAACGCTGTTGGATTTCCCTGTTGCACTTCATCTCTTGGTTGTTCATTCAGACAGATGGACTGAACCAATAATACCCTTATAGATCAAATCATTGACCTCTATAAACATTTTACCAAAGCCAAAAGTATTTAATTATCAATGGATGCTCTATAGAGTCAAAATATGTGTGGAAGTCTAAAAATAAAATAATCTTTAAGAAACAAATTTTACTTATATTAAGTCAAAAACAAGCCTAATATTGTTGCATATGGACCAGTCCTTAACGAATGCTGATTGGGTTTCACACAATCTTTCCAAAATCAGAGTTAAATGGATTTGAAAAATAAAAATAAGGATGAATAATTTGTAATCTACATTCAACACAGTTAATGGCCTCAGATTGTGGATATATCTGTCACAGTCTTGGTTTTGTTATGTTTATTTAGAGTATTCAGTTTTACTTTGCTCCTTGTTTTAGTGTTTAATTATTATTTTGTTGTTTTCTTGTTAGTTCCTGTCTTCCAGGTTTTCCATTTGTTGTCCTCTACTGCCCTCTTGTGTCCTCTCTCCCTAGCTCTGTTTTCTGCTCTGTCCTCACCTGTTTCCAATCCTCTCGTTAGCCCTCTCTTTGTCTCTGTCCCCTTTAAAAGCCCTCCCTCTTCAGTTCCTGTTTGCTGGATCCTCGTCTAACGTCTGTCTGCTTACCTCGTCTCTCCCTGGCTCCTAGAGTATGGTTTCCTCAGATGTCTCCTTGGTTCTGGTTTGTTTGTTATTTTTGTTGGATTTTTTGATTCCTGCCTCTGTACCTGTGGACCTCATTAAACCCACCTAAATTCACCTCTGCCTTACTTACCTCTGCTTTTGGGTCCTCAATCCAACACCAAACCGTGACAATATCTTTTGTCTTTTCCTGGTTTTGGTGATAATGTAATGACTCATTGTTTCATAGTTTGCATTAAATAATATTTTTCATTATTTTAAGGCTTTGAATAATAATTCTGTTAAGTCTTCCCAGAAAAAACTTATGAAAATTGGAAGTCAAACCATCTTGACCAGGTGATTTACCTACTGACATTTGTTTTACTTTGTTTGTTTTAATACTTTCCAAAAAGGCTATTGAAACTGGGATGAGAGTAGACTGAGTTAATAAAGAGAGCTCTCTGATTTCTCTGCCTAGGATAACAAGGAGACGAAAAAGTTGAAATAATCTGAGAATTATATTTGAGCTTGTTGAGATCTTTTCTGAACCTTGAAAGAAAAGTAAATACAGCTTTAGTCATCTTATTGCTCCAGAAAAAAAACTGAGACAGGATAAATATACCTTAGTCTCATTTTTATGTCACACATCTCTCATAGTTTTATAGGAGAAGTACATGAAACATTTTGGAGATCTCATTTCAGATGTTCCTTTCCTCTGGGATTCCCCCCTTTAAGATATTCAGTTTTTCTGCTGTTCTTTTTCTGCGGACAACAATGCAACGAGACATAACCTAAGTGAATATGGAAAGCTGTTTATCCTATTTTTTAAAAATTTTTTAACAGTGTCCTGTCTGGAAATGTGGCAATAAGAATAATTGTCTTGATGCCAAAAAGAGCCCAACAGATTATAATTCATGCAGGGAGTATTACAGATTATATGGACAGGGCAATGTAAGTAGAACAGGAAAGGAAAAACAGAAAAAAAAATGAGAAAAGATGAAAGAAAGAGGAGATAAAAGGGAGATAACGTACAGACTAGGGATGGAACGGTTTTTGAAAACCGTCCGAACCGTTCGGTTCGACTGTCTCGGTTCGGTTCGCATGTGTACCGTTCGGTTCATGCACTGCTCCTTTTTCTCATAGGCGAAGCGTTTACACTCCAGAGCAGAAGGTGGCGGTACTG